TATGCCTGATGTTGAGATTGCAACTTGGGTTGCCTTTGAGATGATATTTCTGGAAAAATATTTTCCTGAAACTATGAAAACCATGAAGGTACGTGAGTTCACTAATCTTTATCAAGGTGATATGACTGTGGGACAATATCAAGCTAAGTTTGAAGAACTGATGCGTTTTGCTCCTTACATAATTCCTGATGAGTCTGCAAAAGCAAAGAAATTTGAAGAAGGATTGAGACTAGAGATCAAGGAGAAAGTGGAACTTTTCAAGTTAAAGAAATATGCTGAAGTTGTTGATCGTGCCTTAATGGCCGAACAAAGGATACTTGGTTCTAAGAGAGTTTTTGAACCTAAGAATCCTAACGGGGGACAAAGTAGTAAGCGCCAAAGATTTTTCCCCTCTCGTTCTCGGTATCAAAATCCAAGATCATTTGAGGCAACTCAAAACTCAGGATTTTGTTATCATTGTCGGCAGATAGGACATTACCGGAGGGATTGTCCCCAGTTACAATCCTATCAGATACCTGTTGCTCCACAACCACAACCACAGTTCCGTGCACCACAACAACAATTTCAAGCTCCACAAACACAGTACTTTTAAGTCCTATCAGTTGTTTGGTACATCAATTTGCTGGACCAGACTGGACTCTTGGATTTCGATTTTTTAATTAAATTTTAGTGTTTATTTCATTATTTAATATCATAAATAATTACTAAAATAGACACAAAATTAAAATTAAAAAGCATCAAATTAAATAATAAATTATTTAGATTCGGACTTATATCGAACATTGATATTATTCATTAACCCAGAACAACTGAGATTAAATTAGATCAACTCATCAACAAAATTCCAAAAAAAAAAAAATGAAAAAAAAGAAAGAATTCAAGTTTAAGGAATAACTAGAAAAATGAAAAAAAGAATTATGGTGAAAAGATTTTTTATTTATTTATGATTTATCCTTCTCTTTAGGTCCACCATCCTTCTATTCCTTTTTCTTTCTGGTTACTATTTCACAGAGAGAGAGAGAGAGAGAGAGAGAGTAAATGATAAGATTGCTTGAAAAAGAGAGAGTAAATGATAAGATTGCTTGAAATATGTGGACAGGGACGGACCTAGGAATTGCAAATCGAGCGGGCTAAATTTACCTTAAGTACAAATATATTAAGAAAATTTACCTTGAGTTTTAGGCTTGAACAATAGATTTTAGGTACTAAAAACTAAAGGTAACCCA